CAATTCCAATTTTAAGAAATCAACAGTATTTTAAAGAATTGGACAAACTGATTCGGCACTTTATATGGCAAGGCAAATGACCGAGAATAAAGATGAAAGTATTACAGGATATAAAGGGGAAAGGAGGATTTGCTTTACCAGTATGGTATCTTTATTACAAAGCAGCAGCCTTGACATGGATGAAGGAATGGATTACCCTGGAAAACCTTAAAATTTTAAACCTAGAAGGGCATAACTTGAAATTAGGTTGTCATGCTTTTGTATGGTATGAAAAAAGCAACACACATAAATATTTTAAACAACATATTTTAAGGGCAGCACTTCTGAAGATATGAGAAGTTAAAAATTTGTTCTATATAAAAAATACCTGAATAGGTTTCACCACTTGAAGCCTTATTTACTAAAGAACCTTGTAACCTTGTAACCGCCTCTCCCCGTACGTTCCCCCAAGAGCACTGAGGTCGGGGAATCTCCATCGCCTGGAGATCCCAGGCCCCCGGGAAGCAAAGTTGGCCCAAACGAGGGCCAGGGCGTTTTCGGTGGCTGCTCCCACCTGGTGGAATGAGCTCCCGGAAGAGACTCGGGCCCTGCGGGACCTAGTGCAGTTCCGCAGGGCATGCAAGACGGAGCTCTTCCGCCAGGCCTTTGAGGGGGAGCCGCCGCCACCATTATACCACCAATGATGTTACAACCATCTGCCCCACATAGTAGTGGCAGATGTCGCCCAACAGAGCTGGGGAAACACTCTTCCTGGCGCTTCTGCAGTGAATAATCTGACCGCCAGTTTGGGATGTCGTCCATCTTGGATTGTATGAAATTCTATGTAATTTATGAGAGCACCAAATTTTATGTTAGTAATCTGTTTTTATTATGCTGTTGTATGCTTATTTTAATTCCGGCATCGCCGCTTGTTAGCCGCCCCGAGCTGATTTTGCATGGGGCGGGATATAAATCCCAAAAATAAATAAATAAATAAATAATAAATTGGAAAGAGGATTGCATTTAGGACCAATTTTCTTTAGAAATCCATTTGCCGATCTAGTACTGTGCTTAAGGATGCTTTTAAATATTTTCTTTCCAATAAATCTTTTTTTACTTTGGAGGCTGGTTCTCAGTCTCTGTAGCACCAAGATTCCCCCACCATCCTGGACACACTACTGCAAGAGGGGCCCCCAGATTGGGAGGAAAGCACTCAGTGCACACATGGCTGTTTCTCCAAGGGAGCCCCAAAGTTGTAATTGGTCCCCATGGTTACCAGTTGCTGGATAGCAGGAGACACCGAAGCCAAGCCTCAGAACTAGGAAGGGGAACTGGGAGTCCTGTGCCTCTCATTGGGAAATCCCTAAAACTAGCAGGTGGTGGCAGTGAGTACCTTAGTGGAAGGAAGAAGACCCCCTCCAGGAGTTGGCACCACCAGGGAGGGGTGGGCAGAGCAGGGTCTGCAAGTCAAAGCAGGCCTGTGTCCATCACAGCATAGAAGGCATTATTTAAAAAATGCACCAAATGCGCAAAAAAGATGACATACTCTGATGAGCACGAGCTCTGCCTCGTGTGCTTAGGGGAGGTCCACAATGTGGAAGCTGGTCCGATATGTTAATGCTTCACCCCTAAGGCATGATCGGACAGAGCCTTGAGACCGAAGGCTGTGTTATGCCATTCTCTTACCATCCAAGGCAGCTCTGAGCTTAGGTTTGAACGCTTCAACTCCGCTTCCTTTAGCTCAGAATTCTAGACGTGTTTTATTTTTTTTTAACGTTCGGCTTGATATCCCGCTCTAATTCCTTGGTTAGGGGTCTCTGAGCGGCTTACAAATTTCTGGTGCTAATCACCAATTTTTTCCTAACTAGGGCCACAGAGTGTAAGGGGATGGGACAACCTACCGGCACCCCCCTGTGGTGGTGGTTGTTGTTGTTTCTTCGTCGGCTCGGCTGGGTCGGGTCTCTGGACTTGGCAGGGGTGTTTTTCTCGGCGTTCGGTAGTGGTGGCGATCTTCCTCCTAAGGCGCGCAGCTTCGCCTGCTTCCGACCCGGCAACATCCCTTCCGGCTCCGCTGGGCTGGTGCTCGGCATCTGCGCACGCCCCTTTCTTCTTTACGGCAGCGTTCGATGTGTTTCTTTCTGCCACCAGGGATTGCTCAATCGTGCGCCTCCGATCGCACTCGCTCGCCGCCGCCACGCAACCAATGCCGTCCACGCCAGGTTTGCCGCCGCCGTCATCATCGCCGCCACCGCCGCCTTCAGCCAGCCACACAGGGTGCCCCCCACCCCTCTAAGGGTGGGTACCCATTTATCTACTTGCAATTAGGTTGCTTTCGGAACCGCTGGGTAGGCGGGAGCTAGGACGAAGGTCGAGAGCTCACCTCGACCACGGTGGTACTCGAACAGCCATAGTGGCTGCTCGGTGATGTTACAGTGCAGGCGTTTAACCGCCTGCGCCACCACTCCTCCATCAGTATGCTCAGTCGCAGTGTGTCCCACCACTAAGACGACTCCACTTGCTCCAAAGAGGGCTGCTTCGGTCACCCCAGAGACAGAACTGAGACATTCATGTTCACCGTCCGCAAGGACATCAGCGATGACATCATTCACTCTGAACCCCCTGCAAAAAAACATAAAGAATTGAAACATAAGGAGAAAGTGGAGCCAACACTCAAACATATGCGATCCTCCCAGAGCAAGAGGGCAGTTCCAGACCAAGATGCTACCCTGGCTCCCACCCGCACACCTTCTCATTTAGCCTCCCTGACCAGATCCTTCTTGGATGCGGAAGAAGATCCACTTAGTATCCCTGCGGGACAATCGCAGTTGTCAGATTTGAGACCTCTGCTAGCATGGCATCCAGCAGAACTGCTATAACATTCTTTGCGTCTCCATCTTATTTGAATAGATGGGAAGAACAGCAATCCCTTTCGGTCCCCATACTGCGAACCGGAGAGAGGCTTCCGCTTTTTCTCATTGCAGTTCCAACAGTGCCTCGGACCCATCGCTGGATGATACCATGAGGGATCTCACCCCTGCATCCCCGAGCGAAGACCTCTGTCTTTACAGAGAACTGATGCTAAGGACGGCAAAGGCCCTTGACACTGATGTTGGTACCTCAGAGAACCATCTGAAGGACAGAATACTAAGCAAGCTATATTCTGACACACTGGGCATAGTAGCCTTTCCCATTTTGGAGGGATATTACAATTCCAGTCTGGCAGAGACCATCTTCTTCTTCTTTTTTTAAATCCCCCTAGGGGGAGTATTTTATTTATTTTGTCAACATTACAAACTATAACTGAAAAAAAGGGAAAGGTGAACTGCATCTAAGGAAAAAGAAAAGATACCCACTAATAACTAAAAACCCAAGAATAAGAGATCAATTCAACCGCTTATATCAATATTAATCTAACATGCTGATAATACATTGAACATGGTCAGTTATGCTATGTTGTATAACTTTTTCATCTTTATATCTGTTTAATGAAACCCCCAGAGCATCCCATAATTTTTATAAAATTTTCAGGCACAATTCAGAGTCCTTCAGCCTTTATTTTGTTTTATTTTTTCTAATCCTCAATGTACCTACCTCACCGTGTCTGTGGTGGGGAGGGGAAGGGAAAGGAGTTTGTAAGCCGCTCTGAGACTCCTTTGGATAGTGAAGGGCCATGGGGTATAAATCCAATCTCTTCTTCGCCTTCTTCTTGGTGAGTCTAATGAAGCCTCCTTTTGAGTCTTTAACATCGTGTTCACCAAGAGAGTCAGTGAGTTAGTGGCCCTTAGGGTTGACCCTCCCTTTCTTAAAACTTTCAGGGGTGGTGTTACATCCTAGCTTAAACTTCCTCCCCAAGATGGTGTCCAGATTCCACCTAGCACAGGAGATTGTTCTCCCAGTGTTTTTTCTCTCCCCAAGTTTGCAAGCTGAGGGGACCTTGCATACTCTTTGATTTTGATTTGATTTATTGATTTTTATCCTGCCCATTCTGGCCTAGGCTGGCTCTTGATGTTCAGAGGGCTCCCCTATATTATCTAACCTTTCCGTAAGGCTAAATCACTCTCTGTTTCTTATTGGGGCCCCAAAAGGGGCAGAGCAGTTTCAGCCCAGTCAGTGACCAGATGGGTATTACCCCCCATCTATTCCTCCTACAAAGCAGCTGGGGAATGGCGTCCTCTCGACATGGAGGCACACATGACCCAGGTGCAAGGTTCATTGGCTGTCTTCCATTAGCAGGTCCCCCTTTGGGAGATCTGCAGGGCTGTGACCTGGTCGTCAGAAGCATCACGCTCTGGGTCTGCAGGTAAGAAAGGAAGCAGACACGGGCAAGGCTGTGCTGCAGACCTTGTTCCAGTGAGAGTCTCACCCCGCCCACTTTGGTGACTAGCTTGCTAATGGTCCCAGTGTGGGCCTGCGCGGGAAGACGGAATATGAAATCAGAGTTGCACTTACCTGTGACCGGGGTTCATGGATGTCGTCTGTGCAGGCACACATTCCCTCCCTCCTGCCCTTCTGTGAGTTCTCTTGGCCGTTTGGCCCCCCCTAAAAAAGAAGGGGGGTTGGCTTTAATGAATACTTACAGTTAATATGTATAAATACCTTGAGAGGACACACGGTGGCTTAGGGAGAGCTGAGGGGAAGGGGGCGTCCACCGATTGAGAACGTGACACTTTGGCGGGAAACCCCACACATGTGCCAGCTCCGAAAGGGGTGAAGCTGCTCCCATTTTGGAGTTTTTTAGCTAGAAACAAAGTGTCTGTGGCTGGCCTGCACAAGCACAATACCAATTTGTGTTTCCACAGAAGATATCAATGAACAACAGTTACAGGTAAGTGCAACTCTGTTTTCATCTTTAGTCTTGGTCTACATTGATCCTTTCCACCAGATTGTAAATACTGAGTGAGTCTTGTCTAACCCTTTGAGCCACTTCCTCCTGTTCTTGGAAAAGATAGAAAGCCCTCAGCAGTGCATAGCAAGGGGGTGATTTTAGGAGATACTCAAACCATCTTTTGCTCATTCCTTAGGTCACTGAAAACAGAGTTGGAGAAGACCAGGCAAGAGGAGGAGCTGCGTTTGAGGGAAGAGTTGCAAGACAAACTCCTGAAACTCCAGAGCGAGAGTCAGTCTGAACTGGAAGCAGAGAAGGAGAGACTCAGGTGTCACTTTGAGTGGGTAGGGTCTGTGAGTACTGGCCTCTCCCAAAGAGGAGGAAGTTCATGGCCTTGCGTGTGAGGACAGGAAAAGACCCTTGGTTTAAGCTGGTTTTGCATCTGCCTCATCATTTGAGAAATTACCTGAGACTTGACAGAATTTCTTCCTTGGGAAGAGTTTTCTTCTTTGTAAAATACTTGATCCTCCACTGGGGATCACTTTGAACTTTCTGCAGCTAAACTAAAAACTTTAAATGATAATGGCTCTACCCATTTTGAGGGCAGACATGGAACACACGTGCCTGAAGTGGGTGGAGACACACATTTCTTATTAGCCACCTTTGCAGCAACATTGCAAAGAGTCTTTTTGCTGTGAGCTAGATTTCATCCGCTTTCCATCATGCTTTTATCTCGCACTGTACTTACTGTCTCTGCTTTCTGTTTCTCCTCATTCTCTTAGTGCTTTGGATGGTCGTATTTCCTCTTCCATCTATGGCTATCAGGAGTGTGTTTAAGTATGGAGAAAATCATGGGATCAAACTGCCTTACACATCTGGACACTTTGTCTTTTGCCTGGGAGAGTGCCACCGAGTGGCATCCTGTCTTCATTGACAAACGTTCACAAAATAGGTTGAAAGGAATAGTTCCACTTGTGGGAAACTCTTGTTCAGTGGTCTATTTTGCTTGATATCGTGGCCCTTCCTCTGGATTCCAATCCTTTGATGCTGATGGACACCAACTCTAGCCTTTTGTTGTCTTCTCAATCCCAGCTCCAATCTGTTATGCCTACTCCTAAATTTCACTCACAGCCATGAGCCAAAGTATTTAAAGACAAGTCCAAACTAGGGATGGGCATGAACCAAATCACAAAGCAAAATTAGTCACTAATTCAGAAACAAAAGTTTGTGAAGGGTCTACCATCACAACCTTCCACAAACCTTTTAAGCAGTTCATGGTGGTTCATGGGTAGAGCAGAAAGCAGGGGTTTAAAGTGACTATGAATCCCTTTAAACCCCTGCTTGCTATTCCCCATGAAGTCCACAAAAACAGCTGAGCACTCCCCACCGCTAAGCCATTTCGGGCTGTCTTCTGCAGTCCCTTTAAAGTGACTGCACAAGACAGCCCAAAACAACTGAGCAGCATGAAGCAGGCTGCTCCCTGTGCTCAGCTGTTTTTTGGACTTTTTGCAAACCCTATTTAAAGGGACTGTTGGAGAGCCAGTTTGGTGTCGTGGTTAAGTGCGCAGACTCTAATCTGGGAGAACCGGGTTTGATTCCCCACTCCTCCACTTGCACCTGGCTGGATGACCTTGGGCAAGCCATAGTTCTGATAAAAGCTGTTCTTGAAAAAGAACAGTTTCTGTCAAGAGCTCTCTCAACCCCACCTCCCTCACAGGGTGTCTGTTGTGGGGAGGGGAAGGGAAAGGAGTTTGTAAGCCGCTCTGAGACACCTTTGGGTAGTGAAGGGCGGGGTATAAATCCAAACCACAAACCAACGAAAACTGTATTTTCCCGGTTTGTGTCCATCCCTAATCCAAACCTTCCATATTGTTGAAGCAACCAAAGATGAAAAGGGAAGATTCAGAGTGGTTGCTCTTTTCTTTTACTATCACCATTTTTACCATCCATGGTTTCTATATCTAATCCAATAATGGGTGATTTGGCAGTGACCTCTGGTTCCAGAGCAGCTATGGATGACAGAGATGGCTTGTACCATATTCCAAGATGGCTGCTTCTCAACACCAAATCCTGTTCCTAAACTCAGAGCCAACATGGGGTACAATGGTTAAGAATGTTGTACTAGGATCTGGGAGGCCCATAGTCAGATCTCCACTCTGTCACAGAACCTTGCTGGGTGACCCTAAATGGTGTCTTGTGGATGAGATTCAGCCGAAGCATTGGTAGCAGAAAAGAAAGCCCCCTTGGCCACTGTGAGGGAACAGACCTGCAGGCCGCATTCTCTCTTGGCCTGGGAGCCCAGGAAAGTCTCACAGTCCCTCTGAGACCACCTCCTGCTCAATGGAGTTGCACACCCAGTGTTTTGGACCCATCTTGCCATTTAAAGGCTCTGCCTAGTTGCTGCCTCTCCCACTGCCATCTAGTGCATGTATGATCTATTGAACTTTCATACTTCTGTGCTTTTATGCATCGGGGTGGCACGCTTTACTGATGCCCTTCCCCTTTGCCAGTCTTTGGAAAGCAGGACTGAATCAGGCATCACATGTTCACAGAGATCAGGGTTAGAATATTCAAAATATAAGGAGGCTTAGTACACTAATAATTACCCATGACATGTTGAAGTGTCAGGAATGGTGAAACATGCAGTCCTCTGTGCCTTGATTCTATGCTTGTCCTAAATAAGGTTGAACGAGGATAGGCTGGTATGTCGTAAAGTAGCAGCAGTTAAAATTTCTCCATTACTTTGATTGTAATGAAGTATGGGACTTTTCCCCATTGTCCCTTGACACGTGGTCAAGATGGAGCTCCTTTGTAAAGCCTCTTCAAGGCTCGGGCACAGAAGAACCCCAAAGGAGCAGCAGTGTGGCAGCACCAGCGCTTCCCCCTCCTGTCCCCTGAGATCTCCATCCTGTCCCCTCAGGAGTCCATCCCCCTTTGTGGTCAAGCCTGACTTTCCTGCCCCAAGAGGAAGAAATCGGATCTCGCCTTATGGCTTACTCAGCCTCTGTCTTTTAGGTGTGACAATCTAGTGGGGGTCTGAACATGTTAGACCTTTTGTCTCACTCTGGCCAGATCCATTTGCATCCCTAAGGAGTGCTTGAGGGATTGACTCATCCCCCCCTTTTGCCAGCTATGCACTTACAGCCAGGCTTTGGTACATAGACAATCCCACTTTCCTGAGATATCAATGAGATCTTTAGGTTGGAGGGCATTTTTTCACAGCCACCACCACCACTGTATCATAGGTCTTCAACTTCTTCATAGACCCAGCTCTCTCGTAAAGCTAGGGGCTGGAACCCTCCTGGTGGGGCAAAGGCAAGGGGGAGAGAAGGTGCCAGGGACCCACTCTGTAAACAGCACCCTCTAAACCAGCATTCCAGGCTGGTACAAAGGCCTCCACAGAGTCACCACCTAGGCAGGCTCTGATAAGTCCCCAGAGCCGTTTGGAAACCAGTGGGATCCATCAGTCTTTGGGGTCAAAGCATCCTCCTAACAGGTCATTTGTCCTTGTGATGGGTTGCAACCTTCCATGTTTCTGTGCCCTCAGTGTCAGGGATGGAAGTGATTTATCTTTTAGTCAGGCATTACTAAACTCTCATTTGACTGATGCCACCTGTTCCTGCCTCCAGGGATGTTAGCACACTATTTTTTCACTGTGTGTAATGCACACAGAAAACAACTAAGTACAACAGATTTGTGACATGTAATCGATGTTCTTTGAGTGGCTGTGTGAACAGTCACTCAGCCTACCTTCCCTGCGGCAGATGTGTTTGTCTTGTCCTGCTGTGTCAGTCTTTAGAAAAGCTGAATCATCTCTCTGTCCACTTGAGCCATGCGTGTTCCACTTCTGCCCTCAAGAGGAGTGGAGCCAATGCCACTCAAAACTTTTCTCCAACTATAGAAGTTTCCAAGGGATACTCTGCACAGGCTCGAGTATTTCAGTGGGTGGCAACCAGCACCACATTTCTGTAGGTGCAAGAACTTCCTGATAAAGTATGTCTTTGTTGGCTCCCCCTGAAATGACCTGCGAAATCTGGGGAAAAGGGGACCCACAGGAGCAGGATCTGGGTGCTCATTTTGGGCTGCCACAGGAGAAGGGATACAAGAAAGTCACAGTCTATGAGTTGGGAGTCCTTGGACGTGTGGAAACACTCCATTGGGGGTCCACACCATTATGCTTGGCTGCACAGGTGACCACACGTAAATAATCAGTGACAGGTAAGCAACCTGTTATTCATTTGCAGTTATACACCGGCTAATGTAGATTTTGTAGTTTTATCAAATTTGATTAGAATTCAACCTTCTGAGATTTTGAGGCGTCTTGTATTGCCAAAGTCTCCAAAACTAGTAGTGACTGAGCACCACATATCACTCTAGCTGTTGATCCATGGTCCTTGCAGTGTATTTATTTATTTATTGGACTTTTATCCCAGCCCCCCCTGCACTGCAGGGCTCAGGGCAGGTTACAGCAAGAAATAAAACTACCCACTATTAAACCATCAACATTGTTTGACAAAACAATAAGAACTATAATAATAAATACAATACCAGATGGTGATCCAGCGTAGTTGGGGATTGTTCCCATAAATAATATAACTATAGCCATGATGTACCAGTTCTGAGTAGTAGGCAAAAACCATACCAGATGGGACCGTATCACCAAAGCAGCAAGGTAGGTAGAGCTGCCTTAGCCAAAGGCCAGGCAGAACAAAGGCCCTGTTTTACAGGCCCTGCAGAACTGAAGCAGATCCTGCAGGGCCCTGATCTCATACAGGAGGGTGTTCCGCCAGGCCAGAGCCAGAGCGGAAAAGACTTTGGCTCTGGTCGAGGCTAGATGGGTGTCTTTTTTGGGCCGGGGATCACTAGCAGCTGTTGGCCTGCGGAGCTCTTTGAGGGACATATTGGGAGAGATGGTCCTGCAGAACCTTGAACCTGATTTGGTACTCAACTGGAAGCCAATGCAGCTGACAGAGCACTTATATAAGAGTACTTCTGCCTGACAACCATACTCCTGTATCAGAGTATGCAGCAAGTTCTCACCGCTTTGAAATCCAAGGAGGCAGACATGCCTTTTCTGTCTCTCCAGCTGGGGTATTTGAGGGAGGGTGCTTGTTAATAGCAACTGCAGGAGCGGGAAGGGTATGCATCTGACTGGTTATTGATCATTGTCTTTCAGACTAGAGCAGGAAGCTGCACTGCATAAGCTCAAAGAGGATATGGAATTGTTGCAACAATCGGAGAAGGGAAGGCTTCAGGAACAGAAGCAGTTTGCTGTGGACAGAATGAAGGTGGAAGCAGAAGCTATTAAGCAGGCAGAACTGAAAAAGCTGGAGCAAGAGAACATGAGAGTTGTGAGCGAGATGAAGGAGAGACTGCAGAGGGAAAAGGAAGTGGTGAGGCTGACCTCTCCCTGGGCACAGTCTTTCTCTGGGCACCATCAGCGTCTCTGTCTTGGGGTGGCTTAATACACTGGCCTCTAGCAAGTTGGAGCAGAGCAGCCTCTTCCTTGAACCGTAATGGTTGCAAAGATTTCCTGTAGCTGCTGAGATCTCTTTGTCTTTTCATCTTTGCGCTTTCTCTGGATACCTCTTGTGTGGCCTTCCCCAAACCATCAGAAGGGGGGGGGGCACATGCTGCCTCACAAATGTGTGTGCGTAGAAGTGGATAGGCTGGAGTTCTGCAGCAGTGCGTGGCACATGAGTGCAAAGGAGGAACTCCCTTGGAGCTCTTGGGGTAGGAGGTCGGGGTGTTGCTGAACTATGTGGGAACAGTGACGTGGCAGAGAGTTGTTAAGATTAGTGTATAGTTTTATGATCAAAGGCAGGGGAAGGGATTAAAGTAAAAGAAAGCTGAATGTCACAGAATTTAGAGTCCTTCAGGAATTCTGGAAGTTAGTGAAAACCTGCAGGATGTAGCAGACGAGGTACTAACCATGTTCAGACCATCATTTGGGAATGAAACCTACTGGGTAACCTTGGGCCAGTCTGTCTGTCTGTCTCTCCCTCCCTCTCAGCCTAACTTATCTCCTGTGGCTATTGTGAGAATAAACTAGGAGGAGCATTCTTCTCTGGGATCTTAAAATATTGCAAGTAAATATAATAGAAGCCTACATAGAATGTACACCATAGATTAGAAAGAAAAAGTATTCTAAAAGGATTACTTCATTTTGATCTGGCTTTGGGCCCAAGCTTGGATCAGAAACTACCTTTGTCACATTGACTTCCTGGTCTGTGTTTGGATGAGACACTCCTAGAACAGATTACAAAGTTCTCAAAGAGACGGGACATGGTGGTCATGGAAGATTTCAATTACCCGGATATCTGTTGGAAGTCCAACTCCCCTAAAAGTGAAAGGTCCAATAAATTCCTGACTTGTCTTGCTGACAACTTCGCTTTCCAGAAGGTGGAGAGGGAAACAAGGGGATCTGCTATCCTGGACTTGATTCTCAACAACAGGGAAGAACTGGTTGACGAGGGGAAAGCAGTTGGCACCCTGGGTCGTAGTGACCACGTCATTTTGGAATTTAACGTCTTGGGGAAGGTAAAAGCTGTACATAGTCAGACATATAGGGTGGACCTCAGGAAAGCAAATTTTGACAAACTTAAAGTTATGCTGGGTAGAATCCCATGGTCAGAAATACTTGAGGAGAAGGGAGTTCAAGAGGGACGGGAGTTTCTTAAAAGTGAAATATTGAAGGCACAGTCACAAATGATTCCTATGAGAAGAAAAAGTGGGAGGAGCCTAAAGAACAAAAATGGCCCCATAAACAGCTTTCTAAAGACTTGAGAAATTTAAAAAAGACTCATTCAGAAAGTGGAAGGAGGGCCTGATAACCAAGGATGAATATAAACAAATAGGAAAGCTAAAGCTCAGTATGAGCTTAGGCTAGCGAGAGGCGCTAAAAACAACAAAAAACAACAAAAAAGGACATGGTAGGCCATTGTGGGGGACAGGAAAGTGAAATTGTAACAGGTGATGAAGAGAGGGCAGAACTGCTCAATTCCTACATCTCCTCAGTCTTCTCTTGCAAGGGAAACGGTGTTCAACATGGCAAAAACAACGCACATGATGAGGGAAGAGAGTTGCAGTCTAGGGTCAGCATGGCTTTTACAGAAGCACCTAGTTTCTTGTAATGAAACTAGGTCCTTGGGGCCTGATGAACTGCATCCAAGGGTACCAAAAGAACTTGCGGATGTAATTTCTGAACCTCTGTCCATTATTTTTGAGAATTCTTGGAGAACAGGTGAGGCGCCAGAAGATTGGAGGTGGGCAAATGTTGTCCACATCTTCAAAAAGGGGAAAAAGGAGGATCTGGGTAACTACTGACCAGTGTTTCCTCCAAGCTGAGTTAGTGTTCAGCATGTTTATAAATGATTTGTATGAAGGAATGGGGGAATGCTGATTAAATTTGCAGATGATACTAAATTGGGAGGGGTAGCAAATATGGTAGAAGACAGAGTCAGGATACAGGATGATCTTGACAGGCTGGAAAACTGGGCTAAAACAAATAAAATGAATTTCAATGGGGTTAACTGTAAAGTTCCACATTTAGGTAGGGAAAATCAAATGCATAATTATAGGATGGGGGAGACTTGTCGTGGCAGTAGTATGTGCGAAAAGGATCTAGGGGGCTTAGCAGACCATACACTGGACATGAGTTAGCAGTGTGATGCCGTAGCTAAAAAGGCAAATGCGATTTTGGGCTGTATCCACAGAAATATAGTATCCAGATGACATGAAGTCATGGTATCAGTTTACTCTGCTCTGCTTAGACCTCACCTAGAGTATTGTGTTCACTTTTGGGCACCACAATTTAAGAAGGAAATAGACAAGCTGGAGCGTTCCAGAGGAGGGCAACGAAGATGGTGAGGGGTCTGGTGACCCAGTCCTAGGAGGAAAGGCTGAAGGAGCTGGGTCTGTTTAGCCTGGAGTGGAGACAACTGAGAGGTGATACAATAACCATCTTTAAGTCCTTGAAGGGCTGTCATATAGAGGATGGTACACGTTTTATGTTGCCCCAGAAGGTCAGACCTGAACTAACAGATTGGAAGTAAATAAAAAAGGGTTTTGGCTAAACATTAAGAGTGGTTCCTCGATGGAACATGCTTCCTTTGGAGGTGGTGGGCTCTCCTTCTTTGGAGGTTTTCAAACAGAGGCTAGATGGCCCCATCTAACAGCAATGCGGATCCTGTGAACTCAGGCAGATCCTAAGAGGGAGGGCAGGAAGGGTTGCATCAGTGCTTGGTTCTCGTGGCCCTTTCTTACACACCCAGGGGAATGCTGATCACCACTTTAGGGTCAGGAAGCAATTTTTCTCTAGGCCAGTTTGGCTGGAGATCCTGGAGGTTTTTTGTCATCTTCTGAGCATGGAACAGGGGTCACTGGGGGTGTGTGTGGGGAAGGTAGTTCTGAATGTCCTGGCCCCACTGGTGGACCTCCTGATGGCACCTGGTATTTCTGGCCACTGTGTGATACAGAGTGTTGGACTGGATGGGCCTTTGGCCTGATCCAACATTGGCGTCTCTTATGTTCTTATGTTCTTAATTTCCTGCACTGTGCAGTGGGTTGGACTAGGGAGGTCCCTTCCAACTCTATGATTCTATGTTGTAATTTTAACAAATATATTGTACAAATTTAAACCACTGAAGAAGGCCTCCCAACCCAAACAGATTTGGTGTATTTTTATGTTACGTTATTAATAACTGTATCTGATTATAGGAAAGATGCTTGTAAATGCGTGACATCCTCATGTGTATAAGTATTATTTTACCCCCCCAAAAAACTTCTTTTACACTAGGGGAAGGTAGCTATATATCTAACTAAAGTTGATGGATTTTTATGGAGAGTTTTTAATATTCACAATTTGTTTAAAGATTCTGTAATTTTAATATAATTTTAGGGTATTTTGGAATTGACCTTCAGTTCTACATACAAGGTTTTTCTTCTTTTTTCAACCTTCCTGGGCTGCCCTTCAGTGAGCCCCAGCTGTGTAAGTGGGAATCCACAGGTCTCCAGACTCTAATCTAGCTGATAACCTATAAAAACCATTGGGGGGTTTACTGTTTACTGCCACTTGGCAAAGGGGCTGTGGCTGTCTGATACTTGGGTACCCTGGCAGGCAAAAAGAAACCTCCAAAGGCACCACAAAACCCAGCTAAAATGTCTGCTTCTAAAATCTAGGCACAGGATATTGAAACCATCTTGACCCTGCTTAAGGAAGCATATATAACCATTAAGAGGAGAAGAAATTGGATTTATCCCCCGCCCTTCACTACCCAAAGGAGTCTCAGAGCAGCTTACAATCTTCCTTTCCCTTCCCCTCCCCACAACAGACACCTAGTGAGGTAGGTGGGGCTGAGAGAACTCTTTCAATAACTGCCCCTGAGAGAACAGCCCTGAAAGTACTTATGACTGACCCAAGGTCACACCAGCAGCTTCACGTGGAACAGTGGGGAATCAAATCCAGTTCTCCCAGATTAGAGTCTGCGCTCCTAACCACTACAACAAACTGGCTCCCGAGGCCCTAAACAGTCTGGGAGCAATGTATCTATGGGACCGTCTCTCTTGGTATATCCCCCAAAGAGCATTACGCTCAGGAGATAAGTACGTATTGATGATCCCTGGCCTGAAGGGTATCCGGCTGTCCTCCACCAGAGCCATGGCTTTTGGGGCCCTTTGGCCAACCTGGTGAGAACTGTCTGCCGTATTATATCCATGCCCTGCGGGACCTGATGCAGTTCTGCAGGTCTGCAAGACAGGGATGTTCTGCCCGGTCTGTGGCTGAGGACAGCAACGGTCTCCGTCTTCCTTCCTTCCTCCTCCCCCCGGTGGGGCAAGGACACAAATTGGTGTACCTTTTATGCACCATTTATAAATTGTTATGGAATTTCTTAAGATGTTTTGATTGTTTTAACTTGACTGTGAATGTTGTTTATTTGGAAGCGTTGTTCCCTGCTGTGGTGAAATGGGGACCCTGGAAGACTGAATAGCTGTTCGCTGGCACGCAAGCCCCTACTTTCGCCTGCCCACCCTGCCTGGTGGGGCTATTTCCCTTCCTCATTTGCTGCCACCGCTCACTGGATCCACACCGCCTTCCTAGAGGGACGGTGAGACACTCTCTGGCTGATCCCCCAACTCGGGAAAGTGGGTACCTTGATCTTTGGGTGCCCCCTGGAGAGTTGGCAACCCCTCCGATCTGGGCCTGTTTGGGTTCCCTGGCCTCCCTTTGCCTCTGGTAATGTGCTGAGTGGGGAGGACTAGGTGGTTCAGGCACCACCAGGTCTTATAACTCCAAAAGAAGGTTTATTTAAACTTTGTACAAGGTTAGGCACAGAAAATATCCCAGGCACTTCAACACAACCTGGACACAGAAAATAAACAGGGCCAAGCACAATTCCTCTGTCCCCGACACACACACAAGACTCTCTCCGCCTCTGGAGGATGTGGCCTCGTGATGGGATTTGCTTTCGCTACTATTTTTTCCTACTCCTCGTTGTGGGAGAGAAGCTCCAGCCCTCCTCCTCCTCCAGACTGGTCACCAGCACTGCCACCCTCCTGGCTTTCCACCACGGTCTATGGTGGCCTGGATGGCCCACGGAGGAGCCTATCTGGCTGGCTCCGCCCCTGGGGTGGGTCTATCCATACTTTCTCGCACTTTCCCCCCAAAGCTGCTGGGAAATGTAGGCAGAAAGGTATGGCAGTTCCATTGTTCCCTATGGAGTACCTCTCCCCCCTCCAGAGGACTACCAGGTTGGCAGCCATTTTTAGGTAACCTGCTGCCTCTGCCTGGCAGCGATTTCGTTACACCCGCTCTGAGCCTTGTGCACAGGGGAGGGCTGGGGCTACAAATGGAATGAGCAAATAAGGTCATCTGAGGAGGTGATCGGCAACTACATAATTTCACAAGGCCTGATGTATATTGGCTTCTAATGTAATTTATTCTAGTAGGCTTGACCTTTTCTGCAACTGTGCAACTCCATTCACTAAGGGAGCTTCTGGAATATTTACCGCTTCCAGCCTTGATGAAGATTGTTTTTGAAACGGGATTGTTAAGCAGCTGCCCATAGTCTCGCTCTATAATCGCTGAATATTTTTTCTTTTTGCTCTCTAATTGCTGGATATTTGTGGTAATGGTTTATGTATGTTGTTTATGTTTCTTGGATATTGTTCTTGTTCACTCTAATACATTATTCTAGAATCTGAGCAGTGTCTGTAAATAGTTACACAAAGCAAAGGTTTCAAACGGTCTGTTTAGCTGGAAAGATATTTTCACAGCTGATTAAAACATGTAAAGGAGTCATTCTCACTGATTGGCTCAACAGCCCGTTCACACGGCATCACTGTTATCTCCGCACCACGGTCCTTTGTTTAGGTTTAAATGGCTGGCAGGCATTTCAGCACTCCGTTCTGCTTCCTCGTGCTTTGAAGGGGGGGCGGGGGGGGGCGAAATTGTCAGGCTTAATGGCTCGCAGCTATTTAAACCTAACAGCTGACAGGCAGATCCGCCCTGCTGTTAGGTTTAAATGGCTGGCTGGCTGGCTGGCGGCCATCAGGAGGGCATTCCATGAAAGTATTCTTCTCACCCAGTAGGGAAAAGACAGGAGGTTGGCTCTGCCAGTATGACAAGCCAAGAAGGGGTTTGAGAAGCCCATTGCTGTTGGCCAAAGAAAGAAAGAAAGGCCACAAAATCCAATCAGAAGTCTTCACTTCTGAAGCAGTTTGAATGTAGCAGGGATTTCATTTCAGCAGGCTTCTTCATGGTTTTGCAGGCTATGGAAGAACTAGAGAAGCAGTTTGTGGCTGAGCTGCAGTACCAGCAGACTGTAGCGAGAGTGGAGCACCTCAAGGTAAGATACCCGGAGAGAAGGAGCTTTTATCACGCTGCTGCTGCTGCTGCTGCTGCTGCTGCTGCTGCCTGGCATCTGCCGTGGCTGCTCTGGCCTCTTGAATGCAAGTGTCTTGTCGTTCAACTGGCCTCTCCAGTGTCCAGCAGAAAGCAGCAGATGGAATGATCCACAAGGGGCAAGGCAGGGAGGACTGTCGGCTGACCCTCTCCTTCTATACCCTGGCAGGTTGTCTCAAGCCTCCCATCACAGGTCACAGAGGCCCCCAGAAGGCAGGAGGCCGAGCTACAGGAGGATTTGGTGAGCACAGAGCAGAGAACACAGCAGAAGAGTCACCAAGTGGCTGAATACAAGGAAGAGGTATTGGTTCTAGGAGGCGGGGATTCTCCCACCTGCTGCTTTGTTCTGTTCTACAGTGTGGACTGGGGGTCAAGACATAATGCTTCCCACCTTGGCTGGCCAGGGTCAGTGCAGGGCTTAGCTTAGCTGAGTCCCTAGCACCCATTTGGCTCACCTACCCTCACCTATAGGCTCTGAGCATGGCATGTGGGGGGTGTAGAAGGAACAATCCTGTATAACGGGACAAGAAGCTGAAGCATAGGACACGTGACCGATTCTCACACCCCGCACTTTACCCTGACAGAGCCAGTGGCCACTTAAGCTTCCTCCTCCCCTGCATTCTCCCACAAAAGTCACACAGTGCCTTTGCACTTCGGCACGGCTCAGAGCTCTAAAACAGGCATGCCGGCAGCCTGCGACCAGCAGCAGGGGTGGATCCTGAGTTACACTGTCTCCGGCCTCTGGTGTGCAGGTCAGGAAGGGTTAATTCCCACCAAAACCACAGTCCTAGGGAGTGTAACTCCACAGGGACAGCCTTCCAGCTAGCCCCCACTCCAACTGAAGTTCCATCAAGCAGCCAGCACTGAGTTTGTCCTCTGTTGAAGGGTTTTCCACTCTGCTGAGGGTAGAGTCACAGACATGGTGGAGTTTTATTAAAACCGGTTGAGTGGCAGGAAGCAAAGTGCAGGAGTCAATGGGCAGTTCTCACAATGGAGGGAAGTCAGCAGTGGGGATGTCCTACAAGGGCTAGTATTGGGGCCGGTACTATTTAATTTATTCATAAGTGATTTGGAACCGGGGGTGGGTGGGGGAGCAGTGTAGGGGACAAGTGCGCAGATGACACAGAATTATTCAGGATGGTGAAAACCAAGGCTGGCTGTGAAGAGCTCCAAGAGGACCTCCACAAACTGGGGGAGTGAGCGACAGTGTGGGAAATGAAGTTCAAGGTCATTAAGTGTATGGTGATTTACATTGGCACAAAAAATTCCCAACTTCAAGTCTAGGCTGATGGGGTCTGAACTTGCTGAGCCTGAGGGGGGGGGGAGATCTTGGGGTTGTAGTGGATAGCTCAACGAAAGCATCAACCTGGTGTGCTGCAGCAGTGAAAAGAGCAAACTCCACGTTGGGGATTCTTAGGAAAGGGACTGAGAATAAAATGACCAACACTGTGATGCCCCTGCATAGATCTACAGTGTGGCCTCATTTGGAATACTGCACACAGATCTGGTCACCATACCTCAAAAAGGGCATTGCAGAGCTGGGAAAAAGTACAGAGGAGGGCAACCAAGATTTGGAGGCTGAGACTGAACCCAACAAAGATGGAGATTCTGTGGCTGGGGGGGGTGGGGTTGTGGGGGGTGGGGGGGGGGGGGGGGCCTTCAGGGATGGGGTTCAGACTTCCCACTTTTGACAGGGCGCCACTGATTCCAACACAGTCTGTCAGGAGTTTGGGCGTGACCCTGGATGCCTCCCTGAGTCAGGAGGCCCAGGTCACACACACGGCCAAGCTAGCGTTTTCCCACCTACGCCAGGCTCGGCAAGTGGCCCCTTTCCTGTCGCATTTCAACCTAGCCACAGTAATCCATACAATGGATTCCCCTCGGGGCTAGACTATGGTAACTCACGGTATGCTGGCTTGCCCTTGAGACTGACCTGGAAACGCTAACTGATCCAGAATGCAGCATCGCAGGTCCTTACGGGGATCCCACAAACAGCACACATTCAGCTTGTGCTGCGTGAGCTGCAGCTTCCAGTGGACGGAGTACCGAGGCAAGTTCAAGGTTTTGGTGTTGACCTTCAAGGCCTTGAGCAGTCAGGGACCCCTGTATCCGTGGGACCGTCTCCTCCGCTATGTCCCCAAGATGACAGTCTGCTGGAGGCCCCTGGCCCTAGGGACTTCGGGCCGTCCTCAGCCTGGTGGAGCTCTCTGCCAAATACCACCGGGGCCCTGCTGCAGGGTCTTATTCCGTTCCGCAGGGCCTGGGAGGCAGAGATGTTCCGCCAGGCCTTTGGCTGGGGGCAGCAGCGCTCATCGTCATGGCCGGCACCCTCCTCCCCCTCCCCCCTCCTCCTCGGGCTGTTCTTATTCCCTCTCTCCCTCCCTCCCTCCCTGCCCCTCCATGAGGTGATCACAGGCCGGAAATAGGAGAAAACTGTAATTTTTGCCACTTGTGGTTTTTTTAAATTAATGTATTGATACTAATACTGTCTGTATTTATTTTATAGTTTTAATATTTTTACCATGTTGTGCATCACCCAGAGCCCTACAATAGTAGGGATTGAGCGATTCATAAATGTAATATAATAAGTAATTATAATAATAATATGAGGAAAGGCTGAAGACGCTGGGACTTTTCAGTTTAGTAGAGAGATGACTAAGGGGGGGGGGGACACGTGATCTCCCCAAATACTGGAGCTCGGGGGCATTCAGTGATGCTGATGGGCCATGGGTTCAGGGGGGACTAAAGGAAATGCTGCTTTATACAGAGAGTGAATAAAATGTGGAATTCACTGCCAGAGGGTTTAGAGGTAGCCACAGGAATAAACAGCTTTAAAGGGGGATGAGATAGATTAATGAAGGGCAAATCTATCAGTGGCTACAAGTCATGATGACTGAGGGGAACCTGCACAGACACACTAAACATCTGGGTCCAAGAGCAGGCCTCCATGTCCTGGTGTGATCCAGCAGGGCTCTTCTTATTTTCATATAATGGTGATGAGAAAACTGGTGTCTGATGTGAGAGTTTCTTTTAGAGGCATCTTGAGAGTTATGCTGGTTCCAAGAACCTGAAGTCACCTCTCAGCTTACGTAAGAGTGGTTGTAGCCCCTCTTCCCCTCCCTCTAGCAGAACTGCATGAGAGCCCTCTTGTTAACCCACTGCCAACTGCCTTTGCATCATCACTAGGCCTGAAGGGAAATTCATGGTGGTGAGATGGGCCAGGTGGAAGGTGGCCATCATTCAGAGAGTTAACTATGGAGGGTCTCATGGGTTGCAAGCGCAACCTTGAATTATACCTGGAAGCACATCAGCAACGACTGCAATTTTGGAGTGCATAATAGCCCCCCCCCGACACTTAAGAGGCAAGCTGTTGTGTTCAATGCTAGTGGCAGCTTCTCAACCCTGTGTAGACTTTTGTGGTGTTCGCAAATGATGGTGTGACAGCATGACTTTGCCACCACTACAGCTTAGCTGCCTCCTGAAGGAGAAACGGCAAGAGATCGAGCAAGACCATACAAGAAGAATGGAGAGGATGAGAGAGGCGCACCAGGAGGCCCTGGTTAGGCTCCAACAGGAATATGAGGACGAGGTAAGTTTGTAGCCAGACCTTGGGGAATGAGCCATGTGGGTTGCCTGTGCCTGGTGGTGGGTTTAGGGTAAAGAACATGACCGTATTGTGGTGTGGTGGTTAGTGTATCAGATTAGGATCTAGTGAACCCAGGTTTGAATCCCCGTTCCTCCACGGAAGCTTGCTGAGCGGCATGGACATATAAGTAGAGACTGCTGGATCAGACCAGTCTAGTCCAGCCTCCTGTTTCACACAGCAGCCAACCAGGTGCCACATGAACGGCACAGAGGTCTGAGGCCGTCCCTTGATGCTGCCTTCCAGCGCTGGGATTCAGTGGTTTGCTGCCTCTGTATATGGTGATTCCCTTTAGTAGCTCTCCTCCGTGCATCTGTCTAATCTCTTTTTAAAGCCATCTGTGCTCGTGGCCATCACTTTCTCTGCTGGCTGTGAATTCCAGTTTGAGTAAAGAAGTATGCCCATTTGTCTGTCCTGAACCCATTTCCCAACAATTTCATTGGACACTCCTACCTTCTGGTAGTATGAGGGAGAAAAAGCTGTCTCTATCCACTTTCTCCTTCCCATGCATACTTTTATAAACATGCATTGTCCCTGCCCCCCCCCCCCCCCTGTTATCTCTTTTGTAAACTGAGAAGTCTCAGGTTCTTCAGCCTTTTCTCATAGGGAAGGTTCTCCAACCCCTTAATCATATTGGTTGCCCTCTTCTGCACTTTGTCCAGCTCTGCAATGTCCTTTTTGTGATGGAACAATCAGAACTGCACACAGTATTCCAAATGAGTCTTCTCTGACTGAAATCCACCAGTAGAAAGTTTAATTATCCTTTTATACAATACTTTTTATAGAGAAGATGACAGGAATTGGAATAAATCTAGCTTTAACATGATTGTCCTCTAAATAAAACACTTGGTCCCTAAAGGGATTATACAGATAAGTAATAGATGGACTGGAATACACCTTGATAACTCTCATTAAGATGGACAGGAATACACCTTGATAACTCTCATTAAATTCTCAAAGCAATGTTATAAGGCTAAAATTAGCACTTGTTCACAATTAAAGAGCAATAGATCTGCTATTTCTTCAGCTACACTAATGAACTATCAGATTGAGAGGCAGTTCTGTACTTCTCCTGATGAAATGCTAAACCTTACAGAGCTTATGACGCTACATAAGAATGCACAGATTCACATGCGTAGATATGATTAGAATCATGTTTATGCGACATGTCAATATCTATCTCACATCAGACCTCCAACTCTGCTCAGAGCTAAGTCTAGAGTTGCCACTGCTCTGATTGGATCTATGATAAGCTGCTCCTATGCATAGTCATTTATGATATCTATTAAACCTGTCTCTATGGCATGACTTGAGAACATACTTATCCAATCAATGTAGGGTAGTTGAAGTCACCCAATATTATAATGTTTTCCTCTTTGCTCTCCTCTCTTATTTCTCTTTCCGTCTCAAAATCTGCCTCATGGTTTTGATTAGGGTGGCAATAGTGTGCCTTTATTTTAAAGTAATCCTTAGGGCCTGGTGTTGGTGGAAAGTGCCATCAAGTCGCAGCCGACTTATGGTGCCCGTGTAGAGTTTTCAAGGTAAGAGATAAGCTGAGGTGGTTGGTCATTGCCTGCCTCTGCATAGCAACCCTGGACTTCCTTGGTAGTACTAACCAGAGTCAAACCTCCTTAGCTTCCAAGATTTGATGAGGTTAGGCTAACCTGGGCCTGCTACCCAGAGTGATTCCATGGGGGAGTTTCTTCCCGTAATGTTTTGTTGCTTATTTGATTCTATGTCCTCTGTGATATACTGAGCAATGCCGCTCCCAGCATGTCCCTCCCTGTCCTGTCTATGGAGTTTATATCCAGGGATAACTGTCCCATTAATGTCCCCCATTCCACTAGGTTTCTGATATACCTACTACATTGTCATTTAGCACCAAGCACCCCGGTACCCCAATCTTGACATTGGCATATAGGCACCTGTATTTCATTTATCTCACTGAGGACCCCCACTCCCTCAGCCTCTCTGCTCACAGGCCTCCTTTACTGCCCTGTTCCCATTCTCAGGTTCCTGACTTCTCCCAACAATATTTTCCCAAGAATTTACCGCTATGCATTTGGCATGAGTCATTCCAAACCAGAGGCTCTCCAGCTTGCATCTGCTTTCCCCCTGGGATTAGTTTAAAAGCTGCTCTGACACCTTTTTGCTATTGAGTGCCAGGAGCCTGGTTCCCTGTTGGTTCAAGTGAGCTTGGCCAGTCACACGCTCCCAGCCTAGCCTACCCCACAGGGTTGTTGCGAGGATAAAATGGGGAAGAGGAGAATGATGTCAGAGGCTTCGTGTCTCCAGTGGGGAGAAAGGTGGGGTATAGATAAAGCCAAGAGGGATGCAGTAGGAATTTCTGCTGCCAAGGCGTGCGAGGAAGGGAGGTGTGGATGCAATTTCTTTCTTTGGTTTTGGCAGGAGAGGAAGCAGCGGGCAGAGCAGATGGCGGCCTTGCGAAGTGAGCAGTGTCGCCTGGAGGAGCTCCATGAGGCAGAGCTCAAGGCTTTGCGGAAGAAGCAGGCTGAGCAGCTGAAGGGCCTGCGGAAGAGCCATCAGGAGCAGGTGGGGCAAAGGCAGGGGAGCCCTCGTCCAGCAGGAGGTGGGCAAGTGGGGCTGGGTGGGCGGGAGGCCAGGGCTTCAGAAAGGGCTTCAGAGAGGGTCTCTGGCAAGGCTTCCTCCAGGCCCCGTGACCCCACCACCACTACCACCGGGCCAGTCCTGGAGGGCCTTGTCCCTAGATGGCAGTCTCCCAGTCTGAGGAGGGCCTTCTCTCCCCTCCTTTTGGTGCTCAGCAAGAGAGGTCCGGTGCTCCTTCTCCACCTGATCATTTGCCAGCAAAGTCTGTTCCCTTTTCTCCTTCCCCAGCAAGCCTGGTCTGCTGCTGGGTCTTGGAGAAATGCCTTCCCTCCTTGCTCACATTGGACAGAAGCAAAAAGTACCACCACGTGGGAGGGAGCTGGAGATGGGGACTGCAGATGTGCCAGCCAAAGAGACCAAGTTCCAGACCCAGGGAGAGGTGTGTGCTGCGAGCCACAGCCCTGGGGTGTGGAGTTTGGCTTGCTGAAGCATAAATGTTTTTCTCCACAGAAATATTTTGCAAGGTTCATGGTACTGAAAAGGGACATACGTGTGGGTTTTACAAGAGAGATCCCCTATTCAGAATGCAGCTGTCTCGGCAGGTCCTGCTCCTAGTCCGGTTGGAATTTCTTTTGCACGCATGGTTCTTTGAGAGCTCTCTCCACCGGCTTTCAGGTGGGGGAAACCCTGTGTGGTTGGTTTACCTGGAGCTGTCAGCCCAGGCTGGGTGAAGACGGCAAGGGGCCTGGGCCCAGCGTAGGGCTCCTTCTTGGGCATGACCTCTCCACCTTCCCTCGTGGGGGCAGGGGGGAATACGCCCTAGCTGAGCTTCCTTTATCCCTGCAAGAAGGAACCAAGGACTGCTCTGATACCAGGAGTGGTTTTTTTCCAGGGGTGCCAACATGTTAGCTGCAGGTTGCGTTCTTGCTTATGGAGGCAAATAAAAGGTGTTGAACTCGGGTTTTGGTGGCTGATTGACATGTGTGTAAGAGTTTGGTTTTTTCTTTTCTTTTTATTATTAACTCCACAGTGGACTCTTTCATTTATTGGGTTGCTTCATATGGTTTTGTTGTGGTATTGTCTCTTTTGTTAGTGTTGTTTTATCTCCATAATGCTATATTGTCATTAGTTCCCATTGGTTTCAATGGAAGCCCCTTCCCCCCTTTTCTCATTTCTGTATCTTCATGGTTTTTTATCCAAATTGGGCGAAACTAAGAGGGATTATAGTATTCCCTCAGGACACTCACATTTACCAAGATAGAACTGGAGGCAATGAAAGGCGCCCATTCAAGTCCACGGGAGAACTGGTAGGAGAGGTCCCAAGCCAGTAACACAGACAGGGCTGCAGCCATGTAGCTGGAAGAACAGTGGCACGAGGAAGAGGCAGACTGGCAAGGCAAGGGCATTTGGTGGCACAAGGAGGGGAAGGCATCTGAGCAGGCAGGCAGGCAGGAAGGCAGGCAGCAGCAGGAGAAGAACCTTGACGTAGATTTGCTTTTGGCTCTGGCGATCTGGAGAGCAGTGGGCGAGCGGGGGGGTGTGTGTGTGCAGAGGCACCCGCAAGGGGAAGACTCGGCGTGGGGGGAGGGCAGGCCCCGGAAGGAGGGAGGGAGGCAGAGTCCCGCCCCATCTCTCTAAGGGCTGGAATTATATTTATTTTTTTATTACAACATTTATATCCTGCCTTTCCTCTTGGTTCCAGGTGGCTTACAATAATAATGGAAACAGTGTTAATTTAAACTCTATTAACTGTTGCCAGAATTACAATTGCGACAAAATGGAGAGAGAAAACTGGATCTACTTTACACATGTGGCAAAACAAAGTTTGGGAGCATTGCATTTATGGCAGAATTATGAGTCAGTCTGTAATTCCTAATTTAGAAAATTATCAAAAAACTTTTCAGGGGACTTGGTATCCCGTATATTCAGTGTTGTAACTCTTAGTTTAAGTATTAGCATAAAATAGTCATTTAGTTGTACATAGATTACGGTTAAGCTCAAAAACGAATTGTTATCTCTGAATTTTAATGTGGATATGGTTGTTGTTATGTACATAACATTTAAATAAAATAATTATATCACAAAAAAATAATAATTAAAACAACCCAAGCTGAAACCAAAGGTAAACTAACAAGCCCCCAATCCCTCTACCCCTTAAAGGATGCCTACTCTTCAAAGCCCCTCCCAGAAGCCCCGGCAAACAGGCAGGACTTGCAGTGCCCCCTGAAGACCTCCAAGGAAGGGGGCCCCTCTCACCTCCTCAGGCAGCCCCTCCCACAGTGGAAAAGGCCGGTGTGTGTGTGTGGGGGGGGGGCTTCAGTCAGTGCCCGATGGGCCACCCTAAATTGGTGCGCGGAGACATAGAGCAGGGGACGCTCCTTCAAAAATGTGTGTCCTAGGTCATGAAGGGCTTTAAAGGTCATAAGCAGCACCTTGAATTGAACTTGGAATCAGACTGGCAGCCAGTGAAGCGGTTTCAAAATGGGCAAGATAGGTTCCCAGGGGCTGGCCCCTGACAGCAGTCGGGCCGCTGCATTCTGGACCAGTTTCCATTTCTGGGTTGTCTTCAAGGGCAGCCCCATGTAGAGCCAGAACAAAGCTAAAGAAAATATTAGTAAGGTTTTTTATTATTATTATAGGCTGTTTAGATGGGGAGTTTATTTCATTTTCATATTGTCTAATGGCTAATATAATAATAGATGATGGCAGACCTGGCAGCTGAAGGAACTGAAAGGGTGCTGGCAGCTTCTGTGTTTTGTTTTGTTTTAATTTCTGAAAATGTTTATAAACCTACTTTTGGCAAAGCCCTAAGCTTGCCAATTACATATTTAAAAAAGACTCAGTGGAGATACTAACATGTATGCAATATCTGCAAATATATATGAACATGACCTGACCATAACAATGTAAAGACTTGAGGCAGTTACCAATGCTCCCTCTAAGCTGTGGAGTCTTGTGAGCACAAATTCTGCTTTGTGAGCTACTGGCATTAAAGAGGTGAGTGAGCAATTTGGCTACTGCATAAATCAGTTTGCTTTGGAGCCCATCCTTCGTGAGCTGAGACAAAAAATGTGTGAGCCGGAGGCTAAAAAACTGTGTGCTAGCTCACACTAGCTCAGCTTAGAGGGAACACTGGCAGTTACTAAAGTTGAAGAGTGGCAGAACAAGAACCAGAACTTCATCAGCTGAGTGGAATGGGAACAGTAAACGACCACCTCAGAGGCTGTTTGGAAGATTCCCGTTTCTTCATGATACTGGCAGTCTTCCACAGAAGGGGCCTCTGTCCTTCCCTGGGGAGGGAGTGCCGCATCTTTGGTGGCAGTGATGGAAAGGCCGTGCTGGGTATGTTCACTCAGTGCCTTTAAGGGAAGGGGGGGGCGTACATAACACACCCTCAGAGGAAGTTCTGAGACTACAAGTAGGTTCTTGTGGAGAAGGTGGCGCTTGATGTACCTGTGAAGTCAAAACCGACACATTAATTTGGTCCTGGGAGCAAACGGTGTGCCCTTGTTGATGTTGTAACACCAGCATAGTGGGATTCATGCCTTCAGCTCTCACCAGACCCATGACACAATTTCCGGTTAATTTCTGTGGCCGCTCTCTGTCTGCTAGTGTCAGACTCCTGGTCAAGTTACTCTCAACAACACTCTTTGGCAGTGATGTGTTTATTGAGATATATGCATGATCCGGATCAGAGCAGTACTGTGTTAGAACCAGTGATTTTGGCGGGTACCTGAATAGATATAGGAAATTCAAACTAGGCCCCTTTCCCCCCTAACCAATCGTACATCACACTCGTCCGGCCTAGCCATTGCTATCCCTACCCCCTTAATGAGAATATACAGTCCCGTTATCTATAAGCCCAAGCTGGCATGAAAAGCTCTGAGAGGAAGGTGTCTTCAGGAAAGTTACAGCCCCTAGAAGCGAAAGGTTCACACACACAGCATTCACTCCCCTCCCCTCAGGAATTTTCCTCCCCCCAACCTTTATGGCAAGCGAGGTTTGACAGCTAGGAAGAGGAGACAGCTAGGCAAGCAGCTTTAATTGGTGAAAGGCCCTGCTACTTATAACCAACAAGGAGCGATGCTGAGTCCAGAGGAGTCCTCCAGCTGTAAGCCTGTGTCAAGGGGGAGTGTGGAGAACAGCCCCATCTAACAGAAGGGAAAATGAATTGTCAAACACCATCAACTCAGTGTTCCCTCTAAGCTGTTCCCTCACAGTTTTTTAGCCTCCGGCTCACACCTTTTTGTCTTAGCTTTTTGTCCTTAGGCAGGTAGACAGCTGGGTGGCGAACCCGCGTACTGAGGTTCGCTCACAACTTTAATGCCAGTAGCTCACAAAGTAGAATTTTTGCTCACAAGACTCCACAGCTTAGAGGGAGCATTGCATCAACCCAGTCTTGTCTGAATTAATTTTCAGTTTGTTTACTCTCATCCAGAAATGAAAGAGAGGCCAAGCACACTTTGTGTCATCTGCATGCCAGTGATGAAAGAGACCAAGTGTCCAGTGGTTTCCTTTGAATGGTAAAGGATATGGGAGACAACATGTGGAATTCCTTGCACGGTTACAATCTTAAGGGCCATGAAATCAATTACCAGTCTCTCAGCACCACCCTTTAGAATCTTTGTTATTGTGGAAGCTTCCACAATAACCATCTCTGGGCCTCATCCCTGCTAGTTGACCCAAAAAGGCACCTCAGTTGGTGCTCTCATAAGCAGAATCAAATTGAGTGCAATCCACGTCCCAATGCAGGTTGTCCACAAGAGCAATTAAAGTGGCTTCCCTCACAAAGCCAAAACCAAGCCAAAAGCCAGAGTAGTGAGGTATAATTAGTTCCATCCAAACATCTCTAAATATGAGGCATCGCCTTTTGCTCCAGGGACTTGCAGAAATAGGAGGGCTGAGGCTGGTGGGCTGTGAAGAACTGCATTTTTTTTCCTGGGAGGTCTGAAATGAGATAAACCTCCACTTTGCATTTTAAAAGGGTTTTTTCCTCTGGGCAGAGACAGGCAGGAGGAGGGGGAAGGTCAGTGCAATTGATTTCCAGAAGGGCTCACCTTCATACAAATGCTAATAGATCTAGCAGGAGAGATTCTGGGTGGGTCAAGCTCTTCCGCTTCTCCAAGCAGGGAACAGAGACTCTAAGGGATTCAGGCTAGAAAGTCTTCAGGAAGGAGAATTCTAGAGACGTCCAGGAAAAGCCTCTTTGATCTGGCATGCCCTGATCAGTGGGTGGAGAAACAGATAAGTTAAAAACTCCTTGCAGCAGGAAGGAGATCTCTTTTCCTGGGGTGCTGAGTCCATGAGCGCACGTAGACCTCTCCTCTGAGAAGGCAGCCATTTTTGATCATGTGCTGGCCTAAAGAGCTGGAGGGAACTTCAAGGTAATGAAGGTTTGTAGGGATTTATAACTACCTAAGTTAAAGAGGCCTGTCCTATATTCCAGCGTCTGATAGATCATGTATAGAGAGAGGATTTGCGTTTTACCTATTTCTTTTGGAATCCCTTGCTCAGTCTGGCGTTGTGCTAAAAGTATGCTTGTGAACATTTTCTTTTTAATAAATACTTTATAATTTTGGATGCTGGTAGTGGTTCTCTGTACCACATAGACCTCCACCATCTTGGGCAGGCTATTTTAAAAGGAGCGCCGGAGGGAGGCAGTCAGTTGGTAAATGGCTATTCCTCCAGGGGCGCACCAAGCAGTAAACGGTCTCGGAACTTGGAAGGGCAGCTGAGAGTCCTGACTCTCCCAGTGGGCAGTTCTGTACAAAAGCTAGGTGGCAGCGGCGAGCTAACCAAGAGTGGAAGAAAAGCCTCTCCAGGTACGGAGAAACACCCAGGAGGGCAGGGTGGAATAGGACCTGCAGACCACAGCAGGCATGTTCCACCGCATGGGTGATGTCATTTTTACATGCCAGCATTGCCCCAAAGCTTGCCCAGGCAGCCTCCTTCACCTTTGCTTCCTTCTTTCATATGCAGGAAGAGGTCTTGAGGAAGAAAAACCAAGAAGCTCTTGATGAAGAGAAGAAACTGGGGCAAGAGAGAAACGTATGTGATTACTTGGTCTCACCATTCACCCTCTGGCCCCCCCCCCCGTTATCCAGAGGGAGATATTTTGAGGGGAGAGCAGGGGGGGCATATTACAGCTGCCAACTTTCACTGTCAGGCGAGTACAAGGAAAAAAGACGGAGTCCTGTGCAAGTCCCCGTGGGGGGGGGGGCGGCGGAGAAGGGGGCCAACAGAGTGCTTGTAGGAGGCAGTGGTCAGATGTTCAGCAGCATCTGGCTTGCGGCATGAGAAATCAGCCTGAGTATGTGTGCGTGTGTGTTGGGGGGGGGGAGAAGTCCCTTCAGTACAGAGCACCCCTGGGGTCCTCAGAGCAGAGAAAGCTGGTGAGCTAGAACACAACGGCTGCCTTGCTTACTGCTCCTCGGACAGGACCAAAGGTTTCGTTCCTAGCAGGTCTGGGGGTGCCTGGAGGCCTGCTGGCAGCCACGCTGGGCTGGCACTACACAGTAGGCCAGATACCACATAAGGCCACTCCGGGAAGGGAGAGTAGTTAGCTGAATAGATGTGTTTGGGAGAGCAAGGAGGTGGGGCTGTTGTCCACCTGGATGCAGGAGCAGCAGGCAGCTGCTGGTGGCTTGGCAACTCCTGCAAGAGCTGTGCTGAGTGATAAAAGGACCTCAGAGGGAACAGTTTTCGGAAATGAAAGGTTATTATCAAAACGTGCTCTGCAAAACTGCAGGGGTGGTATTTAGTCTATTCCTCTACCCACTTCAGGCTTATATGACTTAGTCATAGAGCATCTCCAGTGCATGCAGAAGGTCCCAGGTTCAGTCTGCTGCCAGTCAGTCTGACTTGGAATAAACCAGTAGTCTGATTTGCTGTCAGGCAGACAACAACCAATTACTTTGAACGGCCAAGAACCAGGGCACAGCAGCCAAGGCCTTCCTCTAATGTAGCTTCCATTGACTGGGATTCAGGCATTTGCTGCTTCTGACTATGAAGGTCATCTTGCCTGGTATCCACTAAGGGACCTCTCCTCCTTGAATCTGTCTAACCTCCTTTTATAGCCTCCTGTGCTCATGTCCACTAACAGTGTATTCCACAATTCAGTTACTCACGAGTGGGAACCCGCAAGGTCTTGCGGGAGGCATTTCATTCCCCCCCCCTCCATTATTTCCTCTTCCCCCTTCCTGAAAGCCCCATAGCCTCTCCCTTTTTCCTGCTTCCTTCTCCCCTTCCCACCCAACAGCCAACCTACATTTATCTGCACCCTGATCTTCAGCTTTCCCTCCCATCTTCAGCTATATTTATTACTAGCAGTAAAGCCGGTTGTAAAAGCAATACAACAACCTCTAGAAAGATGTGATGTGTAACAAATGCATTGGATGGAAGCAGGTTAAGTACATATTAGCAGTATATAATAGAAAGGCACAAATGTGGAAGTAAAGTCTCACATACCTTATGTTACACAATAACTGGTGTCCAAGGTCGTACAATGTGGGCCAGAAAATGCAGCATACAGGGCTCTGTGTGGGGGAGGTCCCCCCCCCCCCCCCCGCCTCCACTACGCTGAAAGCTGTTTACTTGGCGGGGAGGGGGGGGTTCCATGGTGGAAAGTGTTGCCTCAGTAAACTTGGCTTGGAGGCTAAAGTCGGTAGGTTTTGTCCCCTGAGGGAATCAATCGTTGTCTGGCGAGGAGAGCGAAAACAGTAGCTGTGTTCACCGGAGTGAAGCAACCATCTTCTGAGGAAAGTTTTGGCGGGCGCCGCTTCTGTGGGCAAGACTCAGGCAACGCAGCCAGTGAATAGGGACAGCTTCTGAGTGACACATCATGGAGCCAACTGATTTAGGGGCGTGTGGAATGGTCAGAAAGTGCCACCCCACTATTTAATTATATATAAGGAGAGATTTGCTTCATTTATACCCCAGGTTTCTCCACAGTGGGGAGCAAAGCAGCTAACATCATTCTCCTCTACTCCTTTTTATCCTCTCAACAATACTGTGAGGTAGATTAGGCTGAGAGCATGTGGCAGGCACGTTACCTAGTGACCTTCCATGGCAGACTGCTGACTTAAATCCACGTCGCCCAGACCTGACTCTGAAGCTCTTGCCGCCAGGGCATTTTTTCTGGGTGAACGCACCAGAACAGAGTTCCAGAACCTCTTCGACAAAATTCTTTTTAAAATATTTAAAAGTTCATGAGTTTTCAGTATCCAGATTGAAAACTTAATTTCCCTCTTGAGAGTTCTGGCACCTCTTAAAAAGAAAAAGAAAAAAAAAAGCCCTGCTTATCCCGCAGGCTTTCATAGGGTGGCTGCTGTTGAACAGTAGCAAGCAGCCAGGCCCAGATGAGTGATGCAGGTCATTCAGTGGTTGCTGCCAGGCCTGGCTGTGTTAGATCCTCAGAGGCCAAAACAACCCCTCCCTCTGCCTCTTACTGACCAAGACCAATCCTAGAATCCTGTGGTTGCTCACCAACTGCAACTGAGAGCTTCCATTTTTTTTAAAGCAACAGACAATCCTTTTATCATTTTGGGTTTTTAAAAAAACACACACTCCCCCCTCAAATTTATACTTTTTTGGGTTTCAGATTTTTCTGCAAAACTGGGGCATTTTTCAGATATGTAGAAAGATCTTTCTTATCCGTTCACAGCTCCAATCAACAGATTCAAGTATTCTCAGATTTAGCTGACTTGGCTGTTAGTATCGAGCAGTGGTGGCGAACCTATGGCACGGGTGCCAGAGGTGGCACTCAGAGCCCTCTCTGTGGGCACACGTGCCATCGCCCCAGCCAGGCCCAGACCATCATTAAAGTGTCGAATTCTCTGCCAAATAATTTTAAGTAAATGAAAGCATTTGGGATTGCTTTCCTTACTTTGTCTGGATCATCTTAAGTTAATGTATGAGTTGTTTTTTCTAAAGTAAAACCTCAGTATTCAGGTTAAATTGCCGTGTTGGCACTTTGCGATAAATAAGTGGGTTTTGGGTCGCAGTTTGGGCACTCGGTCTCTCAAAGGTTCGCCATCACTGGTATAGAGTAAAGAAGTATTTCCTTTTGTCTTTCCTGAATCTGTTGCCTATCAAATTCTAGCATTACGGGAGAGGGAGAAAAAAATTCTCTGTACCCGCTTCCTCCACAGCGTGCATCATTTCCATAAACCTCTGCCGTGGCCCCCGCTCAGTTGTCTTTCTTTCTGAACAGGAGAGCCCCAGAGACTCTTCAGCCTTTCCTCACAGGGAAGGTGTTCCAGCCCCTTAATCCTCTTGGTTGTCCTCCTCTGTACTTTTTCCAGCTCCACAATATCTCTCCTTCGAGGAATGAGGTGCAGTCCTCCAAGTGAGACCATCCCATTGATCTGCACGAGGGCACTCTTATATTGGCCTTTTTATTCCCAGTCCCAAGCCGTGTGTTCATCGTGGAGCAATAGGCGTGCCATAATGGCATTACACGCATGGGCAGGAACAGAGCAAACTCCTGGCGTTTATTTCCTTTCTCAGGAAGCAGCTTTGGCAGCTCAGCTCCGTATCGCAGAGTCCCAGAGAGAGCAGGAGGCTCTGACGGAGACCATACAGCAGCTGCGCAAGACTGTGCTGGAGCTCCAGGCCCAGAAAGCAGAGCTGGAGTCACAGGTGGAGCTGCTACACTTGCGGAGACAGCGCCTGCAAGAGCAGACCAGGTATGCCTGTTGGCGGTATTCGGCTGTGCAGCGCTTGTCTTGTCTCCTGTGTCCTCCCCATCGCAGACCTGCCAGTGCCTGGCTTATGTCCTCCCCCCCCCCCCCCCCCCCGAGAATTACTCTCCCAGTGGGGAGCGGGAAGCTCGAGGAGACAGAGGGGCTCCCGCTCTTTGGCCCGGCAGGGCTGTGCTGACAACGACAGCCTCTCCTGCTTCCTGGATGTTGAGGGAGGAGCTGCTTGTGGCCTCCGTGATGCTGCTCAGGCAGCTCAGTGGGTGGTGCTTTAGCACTCCTCTGGTTCATTGGCAGTGAGCTGGAGGCTGCCGGCAAGAGCAAGCAAGAGCTGCTGAAGACGCTGGATGTGCAGAGCAGCGTGGCCTCTCCAAGGAAAATGGACGAAGCCCTCCGAGTGGAAGACCTGAGAGAGAGCGATCCGGCGGTTAGTAAAACCCGGGTGCTGGAGTGTTGGCAGAGGGTGGGGCATGAGCCCCAGACCTTATCCCCTTGTTCCGAGTGGGGTTAGTATTCAAGGAATGATGCAAACGGGTTAGGTCCTGTGACTTCTTTCTGCTCATGAAGGATTCTTTTCCTCCCCCAGAGGAAGGGGTCTTTCTTTCTGGAGCACCTCTCCTTGTTTAACAAAGGGAGTTATAGGCTCTCAGTATCTAAAGAGTCATCGCTGCGATCTCTGTGCAGGCATATGGGCACTAAGCCTGCCCCAGGGAATGTTCTAGAGCTCTTTAAAAAGGCATGAAGCGCTCCTCCCCCATGCCGTCCTTGCTTGCGGCTCCCTTCTCAGCTTCTGTCTCCGGCACTCAAAGGGTGGAGGTGAGCCCGGCAGACTGGTCTTAATCAGTAGAGTCTCCCCTGCTGCATCAGAGCTGGGCGGTGGCTCTGAATCAGCTGTCTTGGCCAGCCTGCCGCTCATCAGCCTGTTTGCTGGCTTCTGCTGGCCCCCCCCCCCCCCCGGTCTCCGGAGGTGTGTCCTTCTCCCCTTGGGACTTCATGCTGAGCTCAGGCTGACCCGCGACACCAAGAGAGCGGGGTAGGGCTCCGCCTCCAGTCAAACTGTGATCTTCACCGCCTTCTATCCTTCACCTTCATCAGAGGTTGGAAGAGCCCTTCATTCCCTTGACCTTGAGAAGGCTCTCTTTCCTTTTATGTTGGCAGAACTGTTTTCTGTCAATACACAAATCTTTGCCTTCTGGGCAGCCCGTGTCAGTCGGTTTCTCACGCGAACTGTGCTCTGAGCGGGCTCATTTACCATCCTCACAAAAGACAAAGGCTCATTCCACGGGAGCAATAGCTACGTCTTCTGCCTGTGGCAGAAGGATCCCTTTTCCTGAGGTCTTCAGGCAGCCACCTGGGTCCAGCTTTCTGTCTTGGTGGGGCAACATGCAGCCTTCGATGCCAGGGCGGGGGGAGGCGTCATTTGCCTAAGCTGTCCTCAACTGCCCGCTTTCCTGAAGCCCCTGCCCTCTGTGCCCATCAGAGTGTTGAACAGTGAGCTTGCCTAAGAAGGACCTTGTCGTTAGGGTGATCTCCCCTGCCTTCCCGCCTTGCCTGCAACTGGTGCCTTGAACTTGGTCCTCTCCACTGAGCGGGAAGACATCGTGATCCCTTTCCTTTGGGCATGTGTTGCTGAGGGAGAGCTTTGAGCAGCTAGAAGCCAGCTCTAGAAGCCTCCTATTCATAGCTCTCTGCAGGTGCAAAGCCCACCCATGTGAATGCAAAGAAGGCCAGTTGAAGAACTGTCTGCATTGTTTCTCTGAGAGCTGCTGCCAGTCAGAGCAGGCAATATTGGGTTGTAAAACCAGCTTCCTCTGGGTGACGAGAAAACCGCCTCATGGCAGCGGTGTCCTAGGCCGGCGGTCTCCGTTAAAGCCTCCAGGGCTGTCGCTAGCTGTTGCGGGGTAGAGTCTGGGCTTCCACTGCATATTAATTAACTAAGTTTTAAAATTCTTAACTCTCAAGCCCTCCTCCAGAGAGATGGAATCGGAAACGAACCAGAGCCATGAAGAAAGCAGTCTCATTCTGGATCAGTAAGTGTCTTTAATGCTCTCAGAACAGCCATGCGTTCTAGATGGGGCCCAGTTCAAAGACTTGGGCAACTTACGGTGGACAAGACCATAAAGCTGGGTTGCTCTCTGCCCCGGGGTGTCTTCATAATAAGAAGGGGTTAATAAGAGGCTGCGTGCCCCATGCCGCTTGCTGTTCTGCACCCCGTGGCCTACGCTGCCTGAGTCACTTAAGTGCAGGGGTTGGAACACAGCTGGCCTGGGAGGCGGCATGAAGCCTCACATGGGGAGGGGCCGTGGCTCAGTGGCTGGGCGTCTGCTTTCCGTGCCGAAGGTCCCATGTTCAATCCCTGGCAGCATCTCCGGCTAAAAGGATCGGGTCATCGGCGGCGTGAAGGACCTCAGCTCTCCGAGGAGAACTTGGTCGACCGGCAGTCTGAGGGTGTCTAAGGCAGCTTGGTGTGTTCCTGGCTTTGATTCTCTCCTGGCAGGGTTCGTCGTTGCATCTCTGCTGAAGGAGCTTCCATAAAGAATACCAAGGACTTCTTGGTGCACCAGGCCCGCTCCAAGAGGAGAAGGCAAAGCACCCTGAGAACCGTCAAGCAGCACTGGAGCCATGACCGGCGAAGGGCACAGGAGACCACCAGGAGAGACCCGGGCCAGTCCCAGGTTCTGGAGGAGGGAGTGTGCAGGAACCTGGAGGAGGTATTTACTTCGCTTGTGCCCCACCCTCATCCCCTGTGAGGACTCCCCAAGGAAGCTTACACTGTCCTTGCAGTCATGTTATCCTCACCACAACACTCTGAGGTGCCTGTTAGGCTGAGAACGCGTGAGTGGCTCAAGGTCACCCAGCAGGCTTCCGTGGCACGCGTGGGGATTCAGACCTCGCCCTCCATGGGCTGCGTGGTCAAAAGGCGCCACTGTGGGAGAACTAATTGGTGCCGCCTCATGCTGGCCAGGAGCCTCCCGGCTGCCCAAGGATCACCATCCACCCCCAAAGCTCGGGAGTGCCCTCCCTCCCTCCCGTTCAGGGCACGTGGCCGTGAGGAGTGATCCTCCCCGTCCCGATGGGCGGGCTGGGCCCTGTCTTGTAGCCTCCTTAACTGGTTGCAGAGCTTTAAAAACCCTGGTGGGGTTCAGGCCCTCGGAACAGGACAAACTCTAGCCTCGTGGGAATCAACATCCGGGACTCTTATTTGGCACACAAACGGAACCCGGGTTTCTGTACTGTCCTTCTGTGAAAACTCCAAAAAGGCAGAAATAGTTTTCTATATATATATTTTTACTTCACAGAAGATTTATACATCAAGTCATAATATTACACAATGTAAATAATGAGTTAGTTCAGGTATAAAGAAAAACTGCAATCTTGCAACTTCAGTTAACACATTTTGTAAATACAAAGGAGAGAGATGTTTTTGTGACTTCATGACTGCTATCCCTTAACTTAAAGTTTCGCCGTAGTGTGTATTAACTCTTTCTGTTCTAAGCCTGCAACTTTCCAGCATCACCTGTAATTTTGATAAGCTTTAAGTCACTAGTACATACAGATTTTCAACATTGTCCAGCGGGAAGAAGGAGAAAATGCTTTGTTGATGTTCCACTCGGTATACATAGGTGTCATGCAGATCTGGGCAGGTTTTGAAGTCGTGCCTGTGACGGGCAGTTCTCTCTTGCGGGACTCAGGCCAGATGTTGGACTGCTAGCAGCAGCAAAGAGCACAGCACGTTGGTCCAGCTTTTGCAGGGTTGAAGCTCTGCAACGAATAAACGGGCTCTTTTCTCTTCGGGGGGGGGGGGGGGTCTGAGCTGCTCTGAGACTAGAAACAGGAGAGGGGATACAGCCTGACCCCCTGACTGTCTCTCCTGCACCCTCCTTGTTCTGAGGGCCTCCTGATCTACAGGACGACGCCTCTCCTTCAGCCTGTCAGTGAGGAGGCAGCAGAATGGACAGGGCCAGGAAAAAAGAGGTACCACTATGAGAAGAGGCACCCCTTCCAAGCTCTCTGGTCTGCTGAGCATCAGAAGAGCCCTGCCGGGTCAGACCAGTGAGCGTCCGTCCAGTCCAGCATCCCGTCTCTCACACAGGGGCCAGCCAGTCCCTCTGGAGGGCCCAGGAACAGGGCACAGAGGCCGAGGCCTTCCCCTGATGTGCCTCCTAGAATCATAGAGTTGGAAGGGACCTCCAGGGTCATCTAGCCCCACCCCTTGCACAGTGCAGGAAATTCATGAATACCTCCTCTCCCACACCCCCTGTGACCGCTGTTCCATGCCCAGAAGATGACAAATCACCTCCAGGATCCCTGGCCAAACTGGCCCGGAGAACAATGGCTTCCTGACCCCAAAGTGGCATCAACATTTCCCTGGGACACGAGAACTAAGCACTGAGGCAACCCTTCCTGCCCTCCCTCTCGTGATCTGCACAAGTTCCCAGAATCAGCATGGCTGTCACATGGCCATCTAGCCTCCCAAGAAGGAGAGACCACCACCTCCCGAGGAAGCCTGTTCCACTGAGCTGTTAGTGTTCTTTGAGGGGGTGAACAAACATGTGGACAAGGGGGATCCAATAGATATTATTTACCTTGACTTCCAGAAAGCTTTTGATAAAGTTCCTCATCAAAGGCTCCTAAGTAAGCTCAAAAATCATGGGATAGAAGGACAAGTCCTTTTATGGATCAAAAACTGGCTAGTTCATAGAAAACAGAGAGTGAGTGTAGGTGGGCAATTTTCTCAGTGGAGGGTGGTAAGCAGTGGGGTACCGCAGGGATCAGTACTTGGTCCACTGCTTTTTAACTTGTTCATTAATGATTTGGAGATGGGAGTAAGCAGTGAAGTGGCTAAATTTGCGGATGATACAAAGTTGTTCGGGGTGGTGAAAACCAGTGAGGATTGTGAGGCACTCCAAGGGGATCTGTCAAGGATGGGCGAGTGGGCGTCAACATGGCAAATGGGGTTCAATGTGGCCAAGTGCAAGGTGATGCACATTGGAGCCAAAAATCCTAAATATAAATACACATTGATGGGGTCTGAACTGGCAGAGACTGAGCAAGAGAGAGATCTTGGAGTTGTAGTGGATAACTCACTGAAAATGTCGAGACAGTGTGTGACTGCAATAAAGAAGGCCAATGCTATGCTGGGGATTATTAGGAAGGGTATTGAAAACAGATCAGCCAATATAATAATGCCCCTATATAAATCAATGGTGAGACCTCATTTGGAATACTGTGTGCAGTTCTGGTCACCACACCTTAAAAAGGATATTATAGCTTTGGAAAAAGTGCAGAAAAGGGCAACTCGAATGATAAAAGGGTTGGAACACTTTCCCTATGAGGAAAGGTTAAAGCGCTTAGGGCTCTTTAGCTTGGAGAAAAGACGACTGAGGGGTGACATGATCGAGGTTTATAAGATTATGCATGGGAAAGAGCAGGTAGAGAAAGAGGTACTTTTCTCCCTTTCTCACAATAAAAGAACTCGTGGGCACTCCATGAAACTGCAGAGCGGTCGGGTTAGAACGGATAAAAGGAAGTACTTCTTCACCCAAAGAGTGATTAACACTTGGAATTCACTGCCACAGGAAGTGGTGCCGGCTACAAGCATGGACGGCTTCAAAAGAGAATTAGATAAGCATATGGAGCAGAGGTCCGTCAGTGGCTATTAGCCACAAGGTATAGATAGGGGCTCTGGGGCAAGTGATGCTCTGTCTTCTTGGTGCTTGGGGGGGGGTCAACAGTGGGAGGGCTTCAAATGTCCTGGCCCCACTGGTGGACCTCCTGATGGCACTGGTATTTCTGGCCACTGTGTGACACAGAGTGTTGGACTGGATGGGCCTTTGGCCTGATCCAACATTGGCGTCTCTTATGTTCTTATGTTCTTATCAGGTCATCCAGCCAGGTGCGAGTGGAGGAGTGGGGGAATCAAACCACACGATGCCAAATGGGCTCCTGACCAGCTTGAGAGTCCCACTAGGATCCAGAGGCTGACTGCCTCTGAACATGGAGGTTTCCTTTAGTTACCATGGCTAGTAGCCAGTGAGAGACCGATCCTCCATGAATTTGTCTAATCTCCTTTTACCGCTGTCTATGCCTGTGGTCGTCACCACATCCTTTGGCAGTGAATACCACATTTTAATCACCTACTGGGGAAATAATTATTTCTTTTTGTCTGTCCTGAATCTACTGCCCATTAGCTTCATTGGATGCCACTGAGTTCTAGTATTTTGGGAGATGGGGAAAAAGTTCTCTTGTCAGCTCTCTCCACACTGTGCATAATTTTATAAACCGCTGTCATGGTCCCTCTTAGTCCTCTCTTGTCTCAGCTGAAAAGTCCCTGACTCTTCAGCCTTTCCCCAGAGGGAAAGTGTTCCAACCCCCTTCGGTACTTTTTCCAGTTCTGTGATTTTTTTTTAGATATGTTGACCGGAACTGAACACAGTATTCTGAATGAAGCCACACCATTTGTCTATACAGGGGTGTTATAACATTGGCCATTTTATTTTCAGTCCCTTTCATAGTAATCCGTAACATAGAGTTTATGCTGCAGCATATTGGGGTGACAGCTTTGCTGAGCTATCGGCTATGAGCCCAAAAGGTCTTTCCCCCTCTCAGCCAGTTCAGGCCCCGTTAGCCTAGACCTGAAGCTGGGTTATTTATTTATTTTTGTCCCAGTGTGCATCCCTTGACACTTATCTCTACATAGTTAGAGCAGGAAGTGCTTCAGAAGAGCATGAGAGAAATCACCTTTGGATTTTCAGGGACCAGTCATTTGAAAACATTGCTTCTACCACAGGAAGCTGCTTAGCTTGGAACCTCCCAACGTTTGTCATGGCAGTCAACACCACAACTCAGGTGTTTATGTAAAAAAAAATCCAATTTGCTTTGTGAATGTTGGAATTGACTGAGAACAAACTCTCTCCTGACTCCTCCCAGCATACAGCTTGCCGATAGGATTTGTCTTTTTTTCTGGCTTGCACTCAAGTGTCACCACCTTTCTTGCTACTGATCTGCTGATTACACATTCTAGAACCCAGGAAGTTTTTTCTTGACAGACAAATAAATCAACCCTTTCTGGTCGGCAGTAGTTCTGTGGAAGAAGACAGAAATTGCCACCACGTTTTAGTGATGGCTTTAAAGAGAACAGCGCAGGCGCACTAAACCGACCGGTGCTGTAGCAAGCTATGTTTCAAAGGATTTTCGCGCGGGTCCCACTGAGCATGCGCAAGAACCCCAGCACGCATGCCCAGAGGGACGGGCGCGGAGATCCCGCCAGTTCCTTCAAAGCACCGCCGCCAATCAACACCTATCAAAAAATCAGGAGCTGACAGCAGAGGGGAAGGAGGGCGGGTGGTGTGAATGCACAGATGACCACTCGAAGATCACCAGTTACTGGTAAGCAACCTGTTTATCTTCTTCGTGGTCTCTGTGCTTCACACCAATGGGAGACTAGCGAGAAGTAGCCTACCTGGAGGTGGGTGCTGTCAGGTGTTTACTGCTTAGCCGAGGCCAAAACCTGACGTCCCAGACTGTCACTGGTGGACTTGCGGACGTCTAGGGCATAGTGCCTGATAAAGGTATTAGGCGTGGCCCAGGTTGCGGCTCTGCAAATGTCTTGCAGCTGTACTCCCTTCAAGAACGCAGTGGATGTAGCGACAGCCCTGGTGGAATGAGCCCG